CAACAATGACTGCTCCCAATACGTTTCAATAAGCTATATCACCCTTGAATAGATGATGCAAAAACACTTATTATGCATTAACTGTAGGAGCGTTGTATGGAAGCATGAAGAATTTACCATGTTTGTGCAGAAGCAGATGTCCTTGAATTAATCTGAATTTCACTGGCTAGACAGACATGTATTAGTTAAACGGATGCAATTATTCAATAGGAAGGAAGTACTGAAATGCATCAACCGGTCGTCTATCTCCCAATTCCAGTAACAAATGCATACATGATATTCACTGTCTGCTGAGAGGGTTGAGGACATATGTTGGTCTGACAAATGGATGAGTTCTCACTACCCTATAAAATTAGCTAAACATAACATGAACAGACCAGCTACCTGCAGTCTGACCCTTGAGTCTGAAACAGATGTGATAAAGTGACAGATGGAAGAAACTCACCGATGTGTTTACTCCCAGCTGAACTCGAGGAATTTGGTAGAACCGTTTGGGTTAAAGAAAAATACATGACTGAGAATACAAATTGCTATCAACAAAAACCGAAGAAGCTATTTAAGAATAGTTCCATGCACTTTTGATTCACATGATCACAGGCATGATATTAAATATTCATATGACTGTTACTGATGGAACTAAGTGAAAGCTAATGCTACATTTTACACTACCTGAATGTGCTTTGATAGTCTACATGCACATTAAAAGTTACCATGCTCTAAAAATAAACAAAAAGCAGTTTGCACCAATAGTTTTACGCATGGTGAAAACTGCCTATTCACACTATGTTTTACCGTATGGAGATTATTATTCAGTTTAAAAGTTTAAAAAGGCTTGAGTAGAATTTTGGCAGGCTATCAAATTTAATGCCAAGTTAATTCGATCAGTCACTGTAATGAATGAATTTATATTAAAGCAAAGAATCAGTATGTTGATTTGATCACTATGTATGGTTTACAGATCAGTCATTTGTATAGACTGCACCCTCAAAGGGTTAACGATTTAATTATGGGCATTCCTATCTGATGTTTGTACTGTTGCAAAACTTGTTGTTATTCATTATGTTCACTGGAACAATTTGCATTTTAATAAAATACTCCAATGATTCATTCAGTGGCAAACAGATTTGGACCATATACTTAAAACATTAGCCACATACATACTGTGAATATTTTTGTGCCCTAGAGTATGGTTAAACATTTGAAGATTATGAGAAAAGAAGTGCTCCAGTGAGATAATATCATTAATATAATTAACTGCATTGTGAAACTTTACCTATTTATAGAGTAATCAACAATGATGTGATCTGTACCAATCATATTGAATGGACAGCTCCACACAGAATTATATTGCATTTATAGGCCATTCAGCCCAGTGGTCTGTATAGGTTTTTAATGCTGCAGGTAAGATTCCTCTCACTTCATATAACCCTATCTGCATATACTTTTGTTCCTTACTCCATTATGTAGTTGTCTAGTTTCCCTTTAAAAGCAGCTATGCTATTCGATCCAATGCGTAGAGCAGGTTCCACTCATAAATCCAGTTGAAATTTCAACATACAGTGACTGATATTGTTCTATTTATAACCCCTAATTTTGGACTATCCCTCAAATGGAAACCTCTATGTCTACCATAATAAATTTTAAATTTCAAAATGAAACCTTTGTTCCTTGACAGTGTTTTATTATTCTGGCATTACTCTGAGCATGAAAGCCAACTTTAACAGGCCTACTAGTATCCCACTTGAGGTCAGCTAATGTAGTACAGACTGAGAATTTTTGCTTTATGACGCAGAACCTTTATTTGGCAGGAACATACCTACCAGCAGTATACAGGCTGGGAAATGGTGCATAAGTAAATTTCCTTGGCTCGCTGCTCATTATGTGCTGTTTTTTATGTTCTGTATCAATGGTATTAATCATTCCTGTAGTTAGTCTACAATAGCTCAAACAGTCCTCAAATTTATGTAACTCAAGCCTCTAGCGAATCTTTGTGTAAAATTGCAGGAATTGTGTGCAATTTAGGTTTCCATTAATAAACATTGTGGATTGCTGTAGTTTTGAAATAGAAACATGAATATATTTTTTCTAAAATACAATTTTGTGTTGATCATTTATCTCTTTTTTTTTGGAGGTGGGCGAAAGACATATATTATGAGGGAGATTTTCTGGCACCTACAGAACAAAAAACAGCATAGGAACAAGCCCTTTGGCCCACCGTGACTGCCAACTTACCTTTGTAAACTAAAAATCTTTTGCCTCTACACAGTCTGTATCCCTCTATTCTCTGCATATATCAGTCAAGATGCCTCTTAATCGTTGCTATCGTATCTCCTCCACCACCTCTTCCACCAGTGCTTTTCAAGCACTTACCACCCTATATGTAAAAAATTTGCCTCTGACATCTTTACAACGTAAACCCTAGTGATTGACATTTTTCACCCTGGGGGAAAATGACTCGAACTATTCATTCTATCTAGGCCTCTGAAATTTTGTAAAGTTCATCAAGTTGTCCGTCATCCTCTAATGTTCAAGTGAAAACAAACCAAATTTGTCCAAACTCTCCTCATAGCTAATACCCTCAAAACCAGGCAACATCCTGGTAAGCTATTTCTGTACACACTCCAAAGCCTCCACATCCTTCTGGTAGTGTGGCAACTATATCTGTACACAACATCTCAAACGTGGCCAAACTAAAGTTCTATACAGCTGCAATGTGACTTGCAAATTTTTATACCCTATGCCTTGACTGATAAATGCAAACATGCCATATGCGTCCTTGACCACTTTATCCACTTGTGTTGCCACTTTCAGTGAACTGTGGGAACAGAGAGGAAGCCTGGATCGCTCTGTATGTAGCCACTATTAAGGCTTCTGCCATTTACTGTATACTTCCCTCATCCATTAGATCTTCCAAACTGCTTCACCTTGCATTTGTCCAGATTAAACTCCATCTGATATTTCCCTGCCCAAGTCTCCAGGCTGTCTATGTCATGCTGTATCCTTTGGCAATCCGCCTCACCATCTGCAACTCCCCCAACCTCCACAAACTTACTAATGAGACCACCTACATTCTCCACCAGATCATTTATACATATTACAAACAACAGGAGTACCAGCACTGATCCCTGCGAACATCACTGCTCACAGAAAAACACCCTTTCACCTCTGCTGTCCGTCTTCTATGACCAAAGCAGTATCCAACTTACCAGCTCCCCCTGGATGCCATGTGACTTCACCCTTCATATCAGCCTGCCATGAGGAACCTTGTCAAAGGCCTTGCTAAATCAATGTAAACAGTGCCGCTCTATCCCATCGATCATCTTTGTTAGTTCCTCAAAAACTCAATCGAGTTTGTGATACATGACCTTCTCTGCACAAATCCATGCTGCCTATCACTAATAAGTCCATATTTTCCCAAATGTGAGGAATGTCCCTATCACTGACATAAGGCTCATTGGCCTGTAATTTCCTTGATTATCTCAGCTGCTCTTCTTAAAGAAGGGTACAACATTGGCTGTTCTCCAGTCCTCTGGGACATTTTCTGTGACTAAAGAGGATACAAAGATCTCTTACAAGGTCTAAACAATTTCTTCAGTTGCCTCCCTCAGCATTCTGGGATAGATCCCATCAGATGCTGGAGACTTATTTACCTTAATGCTTTTCTAAACACCCAACACCTCCCTTTTTATATTGACATGCCCCAGAATATAAACATACCCCTCCTGAGACTCACCATCCACCATGACCTTCTGCTTTACCAATGCAAAGTACTCATTAAGGACCTCACCCACTTTCTTCGGCTCCATGCATAAATTCCCCTCCAATGTCCTTGAGTGGACCAACCCTTTCCATAGCTTACTCTCTTACTCCTTATATACATATAAAAGCTTTGGGATTTTCCTTAATCTTGTTTGACAAAGACATTTCATGGCCCCTTTTAGCCTTCATAATTCCTTGGTTAAGTTCTTTCCTGCTATCTTTGTATTCTTTGAGGACTCTGTCTGTCTTCAGTTTCCTAGACCTTACAAATGCTTCTTTCCTTTTTGACCAAGCTCAAAATTTCTCTTGTTATCCAATGTTCCAGAATCTTGCCCATTATTATCCTTCATTTTCACAGGAACATGCTAGTCCTGAACTCTAATCAACTGGTCTTTAAAGTATTCCCACATTGCCAGATATGGATTTACCCTCAAACAGCTGCCCCCCATCTACATTCCCTAGTTACTGCCTAATATTGTAGTGGTTAGCTTTCTCCTGATATAGTACTTTCACCTGACAATTATGTTACCTTTATCCATAAGTAACTTAAAACTTAGAGAATAATGGTCACTGTTCCCGAAATGCTCCCCCACTGAAACTTCAATCACCTGACTAGATTAATTCCCTAATACCTGGTCTAGTATAGCCCTTTCCCCAGTTGGACATATCACACATTGTTTCAAAAACTGTCCTGGACACATCTAACAAATTTCCCCATCCTAGTCCCTGACACTAAGTAAGTCCAAGTCAATATAGGGGAAGTTAAAATAACTCACCACAACAACCTTGTCTTTTTTTCCACTTTTCCATAACCTATCCACATATCTGTTCCTCTGTCACCCACTGGATGCTGGGAGGCCAATAGTACAACGCCATCAAAATAATTGCACCTTTCCTATTCCTGAGCTCTACCCATATGGCCTTGCAGGATTAGCTTTCTAAGATGTCCTCCCTCTGCTATGATATTCTCCCTTACCAGTAACGCAACTCCCCACTTCATTTACATTCCTCTCTATCACACCTGAAACATATAAATCCCGGAACGTTAAGCTACCAGCCTTGTCCCTCTCTCAACCAAATCTTGGTAATAGCTACATCATAGTTATCTGTATTAATGCAAGCTATATGTTCATCTGCTTACCTGTCATCCTCGTTGCATTAAAATAAATATACCTCAGACCACCAGTCCCTCTATATTCAGTAACCTCTCCCTGTCTGTTATTCCTCTTAGCCTTACTGACCTTAGTCTCTGACTTCTCCTCGGTCATTTTACGTTTTGCATAACTTTATAATCCATTGAGCTCTAACAATATAAGAGAATGTGGCATGTCAGATCAGAACACTGAGAATATTGTTACTGGAATCTCTTTACACAGCACCAAAGGAAGCCATTCAACTTAGTAGAGTTATCCAATGAGTTTCGATTACTCACACTTCCTCCATGTTTAGGAAAAAAAATTGCAGAATTAAACATATATCTAATTCCCTTTTGAAGGTTACTGCTGAATCTGTTTCCACAACCGCTTCAGGCTGTGCATTCCAGGTCACAATGTTTTGTATAAATGAATGTTTCCTCATGTCACCAATGGTGCTTTTCCAATCACCTTAAATTCCTGCCCCGATCATTACTGTTACTGCTGATGGAAACAGTTTACCTTATTTATTCCCAGTCCCAATGATTTTGAGTACAGACTCTTTGAAGGACTCGACTTGAAATTGTTGAGTCCACCTCCCATACAGATCATTTCCTTTTCTCTATGTGCCACTTGGCTTACATGCAAAAAAGATATGAGATATTGGAGTTGTCAGCTTTGCATCGGTGGCTTCTCATTCTCCCTCTGGTAGTTCAACGTTAAAAAAACACGGCACCATGTTTAGGAGACAATAAGGACTGCAGATGTTGGAAGCCAGAGTCTGCAGGTGTGAGGCTGGAAGAGAACAGCAGGTCAGACAGGATCCAAGGAGTAGGTAAGTCAACGTTTTGGGCCGAAACCCTTCGTCAGGACTGGGAAGGGGGACAGGACCCCAAAAATAAATAGTGGGTGGGGGGAGGGACTGGTGGAAGGGTAGGAAAGATAGTGATAGGTGGATGCAGGTAGGGGGTTATTATGATTGGTCCATGGGAAGAGTGGAGTGGATAGGTGAGTAGGAAGATGGATAGGTTCTTCTGTAATTAAGGATGCCCTTAATCGCATCTCCTCCATTTCCCGCACTTCTGCCCTCAAACCCCTTCCCCCAACAACAATAAAGATAGAGCCCCCTTAGTTCTCACATACCACCCCACTAACCTCCGGATCCAACGTTTCCGCCACCTACAATCAGACTCCACCACCAAAAAGATATTTCCCTCCCCACACCTTGGACTGTTCATTCCATGACTCCCTTATCAGCTCGACACTCCCCACCAACCCCTCCACCACACCCGGTACGGTTCCCTGCAATTGCAACTGCAAGAGGTGCAACACCTGCCCCCAAACCTCCCTCTCTCCTCCGTCCAAGGCCCGAAACAATCCTTCCAGATCCAATAGAGACTCACCTGCCCCTCATCCAACATGATCTAATGTATCAGTTGTTCCCGATGTGGTCTACTCTATATCGGGGAGACCAAACACAGACTCGGGGACTGGTTGGCAGAGCATCTGCACTCTACACACAACACAAGCTGATCTTCCGGTTGCCATCTATTTTACTTCTCTCTACCACTCCCCTGACGACATGTCCATCCTTAGCCTCCTCCACTCTCAGAGCGAGGCCAAACATAAACTTGAGGAACAACACCTGATTTTTCAACTTGGAAGCTTACAGCCCAATGGCCTTAACATTGACTTCACCAGCTTCAAAATCCCTCCACCTTCAGCCTTAACCCATGTCCAGCCCTTCCCCTCCTGATCTGACCTAACCTATCCATCTTCCTACTCACCTATCCACTCCAACCTTTCCACAGACCAATCACAATACCCCCCTATCTGAATCCATCTATCACCATCTCTCCTACCCTTTCCCCAGCTACACCCCCTCCCTCTATTTATTTCTAGGCTCCCCTCCCCCCTCCCTAGTCCTGATGAAGGGTTTCAGTCTGAAACATTGACTTACCAGCTCCTCTGATGCTGTCTTACCTGCTGTGCTTTTCCAGCCTCACACCTATAGACTATGGCACCATGTATATTTTGGAAGAAATCTTTGTGTGTGTGGGTAAAGAGGGGAGTGATACCAATCCATTAGCAAGTTGGAACTGCAGATTGTTGTCACTATAGCAACACTATGAATGTTAAGCAGGGGAGGTGATGGCCTAGTGATATTAAACAGGGGAGGTGATGGCCTAGTGGTATTATCACTAGACTGTTAATCCAGAGACCCAGATAATGTTCTGGGGACCTGGGTTTGAATCCCGCCATGGCAGATGGTGGAATTCGAATTCAATAAATATCTGGAATTAAGAATCTAATGATGACTGTGAATCCATTGTCGATTGTTGGGGAAAAAACCCATCTGATTCACTAATGTCCTTTAGGGAAGGAAACTGCCATCCTTTCCTGGCCTGGCCTACATGTGACTCCAGATCCGCAGAAATGTCGTTGACTCTTAACTGCCCTCTAGGCATTTAGGGATGGGCAATAAATGCTGCCTGGTCAGGGACACCCTCATCCCATTAATGAATCAAGGGAAAAGAAGTTAAACAGCTAGAAACATTTCTGAAGAAGCGTCCAGACGCGAAATGTCAGCCTTTCTGCTCCTCTGATGCTGCTTGGCCTGCTGTGTTCATCCAGCTCTACACCTTGTTATCTATAAACAGCTAGAAAGTTGTTCTCCTCTCTTTTCATGGAACACCAATTAGTACACAAAGATTGCATTAAAACAGGCAGTACTTGAGAATTAATGAAAAAGACAAATTTTTTGTCAAAGCTTTTCATCTTGCACTTACCAGGGCAAATTGCAAGAAATACCAAAATTTAGTGTAAACAAGATTTATACTGTATGACAGGGGAGTGCTGATTGGTTGGCCAGTAAACTCTGATTGGTAGAGGCATCACCATGGAGAATGCACTTAATGATGACAGGCAACCCATTGCTTAGCTTTGTTTAAATTTTGAACTAGGCAGGTTAACTCTATGTAGTTAAGGCATTGCTCTGAGAAACGAAACAGAGAATGACTGTCATCCAGGGCCAGGGACAGGACAGTATATCAGGGTCCAATAACTGGAGCTCTGGGATTAAATTTGCATGTACTGGAAGATCCATATATCAACAAACAAGGCTGTCTTGTTTGCAGACAGGAAGAACATGTACACACATTGCAACTGTTTTAATGCCACTAAATAGGTGATGGCCATTCTCATGGTAAAGACTTGTCGAATCAGTGTTAACCTTCCTTGTTTAACGTTTAAACAAATATTTGCAGTTAACTATCAGTCATCATGAACTGGTGCATTTGCCACTGACAACACCTCCACCAATTAGAGTCCAATTGTCAACCAATCAGCGCTCTCCTCTCATACAGTACAAATGTTGTTTTCCCTTTGGTATTTCTTGTGAATTGATGAGTGCAAGATGAAAAGCTTCAACGAAACATGATTTGTTTTCAGCAATACTCAGATTTTATATTACCAAAACACTCTGTGGCATGTTTACTTTGCTTTTCTGTAAAGTACTGTTGGGAACTTTGACAGATTATTCCAGGTATGGCAAAGTTTTACCTCATCTGCTGCCGTGTCCTCTGGATTTGATCTTCTGGCATTTCTTCTCAGGCACAGTGTAAAACTTAGCAAGTTACAGAGCCTTCTGCTCCTGCAGGCACATGAGGCAACCTATTTGATTAAGATTCTTCCTGAGCGATTGACTTTTCAGATCAAGCACTGAAGTCGACTTGTGTGAATATAGGTGCTTCTCCGTTAGTTTGTCGGAAATGGTTTTTAGACTGGCCTGTTTTGCCTTCTTAGAAAGACAACAGGTCCTTAAGTGACAGCTATTGCAGTTTAAGTAAAAGTAGCAAGATTGGAGATCCTGCTTGGCCCATTATGTCAACTCACAGCAGTAAGTGGACTGAAATTGGCAACTGAAACTTTGCTATGAATAAGTAACGATCCTAACGTCAGGAGTTTTTAAGAATGTATGTGCTCCCGTTTACTCCGTTTCAGTGGCTGGAGTCCCAACAGTGAAAAGTCCATCACCAAATAATCCTTAAGGTAGAATATATCAACACGTTGCTATTTTGCTCAATGATTTGATTAAACCTCAGCGCCTAGTCTGAAGCAGATGGAGTCTGAAGATAATTTTACATAAGACTGCTTGAGCACATAAGGATATGGATCACCTATCATCAAATCCTTTGGGTCTAAAAACTCACTGAAAATAGTGCTCAAAGATTTATTACTGTATTCTTGAAAGTAAAAGTGTTGACACTCAAGTGTTTATGAAAAAAGCAGGCCTAGCTCAAATTTTCAAGAGGTTCATTCACATGCCTCAGAAATGCTATTTTTCTAAACAACTGGTACCATTTACTTGCCTTATATGAGATTGGAGGTAGAGATTGTGATATGAAAAATGTTGTAATTTAAATAGAGCCACAAATCAGAGGTTTCAAAGTATTTAAAGGCTTTCCTGCCTTAGAATACTCCTTCAACACTCCATCAGTTTACACCAAATTCTCTCTTCATTTTGTATTTTGCAGAATAATTGTACCAGGCTTAACCTTTTGCATGAGTACACACTCCAACTGTGCGGAAACATTATATTTGTTATACAAATGATGGCTGTGAGATTAAAAGTCACACTTTCTTCCAATTGAGCTCCCAAGGCTCTATAGAACCTCCTTCCACAAAGCTTAAAGACATTGGATCTAGTTTGAGGAGACAACACTCACAAAATTACTTTGAGATTGTGACCTCATTACTGATCGAAAATGATGATGAATTACTGAAGAATTTATTTTTAATTTTCCAGAGTTACAATGAAATGCTACAATGAAGTTCCCACTACAATATCTAAGGGTTCGGAATATCTGCTCGGGGTGGACAGTAAGTTGCAGTGGGTTGGGGGGAGTCAGTTGTCATGGTCCATGTAATTACAAATGATATAGGTAAGACTAGGAAAGGCCTTGCCTAGGCTGTATGAAGGACTAGTAGTTAAATCAATAGGCAGAACCTCAAAGCTAATAATCTCTGATTTATTAGAGTGGTGTTCCAGCATTCATATAATAAGAGCAATAGAGAAGGTTTTAAACTAAGTAAAATGGGAAAGGGATTGTATAGAGGAAAATTGAGTAATTTACAGGGAAATGACAAGATCAAGGTAGCAATAAATGTTATGGTAGAGTATGGAGGAAGGGACAGTGATTGCAAACTCTCAAACAGATATATTGTGTGTAATAGCATTGGGGGGGGAATGTCCTCTCGAGAAAGAAGCAACAGCCAGGTTTGTGGCACCCTCAAGGTTGGTTGTGCTGCATAGCAGGAGAGGAAAAAGACTGGGAGAGGTTTAGTGATCGTGGACTCGACTGGAAGGTGTACTGACAGGCGTTTCTGTTACAGCAAACAAGACTCTTGAATGGTATGTTGCCTCCCTGGTGCCAGGATCAGGGATGTCTCAGAGTGGCTGTGCTTTGTATCTGAAGACTGGCAGCATTTGCAATAAAACTGATGACTTAGAAGCTCAAGTAAAACCTTACACGTGTGACTGTGCCGCAGAGATGCAGCTACAAGGAAACTAAGACTGGACATTCAATATGCAAGGTAAAGCAACATTCAGGAAGGTCAGTAGGCTGGAAAAAGGTAGTAAGGGACTTCTATTCCTTACAAAGGGCATTAATATTGTAGTTAGAGATAATCTTAATTCTAAGGATCAAGATGAAGAATCAATTTGTGCGGAACTGAAAACCAGCATGGGGCAGAGAACTTTGGAGGGAGTGATACATGAGATTTGAACACATAGAAGACCCAAAGATCAGGAAGCAGTTTTTTTTATTTTACTGACATCCTGTATTTCCAAACATAAAAAGAAATTAAGATTAAACAAAGTAACATTCATTCTAAGTACATGAAATGAAGCCTGGGTTACATTGCCCTAAGAAAACCTTTTATTTGTCTGTCCCCCCATCATCAACTCTTTTTCCAGCAAGGACACCTATTTTCCAGGAAGGATCTATTTGATTGCTCCAACAGGCCTCCCACACCTTCACCACCTGGTGGTGGAAGTCCCAGCCCTAATGCTCGAGCTTGCTTGCTTTGCAGCTTCCCTCACCATCACCATCTGCTGCTGGAGGTCCCATTGTACAATTCCCTGCTTGAAACCTGCCATGCCAACGCCTACATAGAGCACACAGGGACAGTGTGCTAAGCAGTTGTATGGTTACAGGTTCAATTGTAATATTCAAGTTCATATTAGTGGCAATGATGTTGTATCATTGATCTGGCCAAATGGTAAGGGTTGAGGTGATATCAGCATTTGTTTGACAAGACCTTCCTAGCCTCTTATCTGATTTGGTACCTTCCAAGGGATCCAGGTGGACCATCCACGATAGGCTCTAGGTTGGTCAGGTAGTCATATAATTGATAGCGCATGTAGTTTCAGTTTCCATCACCTACCAACTCCTCCATTCATTGTTTTCCATGGCAGGAGTAGGCTTCCACGCATTGAATGCATCCCCTGGATTCACAGCATCACCAATTACTTGAAGCTGTCTGACGTTCTCTTTCAAGAAAGGTGCTAAAGGTGAAACCATACCTACCTGGACCTGGTTTGGATCTCATCCGTACACATATCGGTGACACTCAGCTGATTTTTAGCCTGCAGGGAATTGGGTTCAGAATGCAGTCTTTAACTTGGGACATGGCATCAGCCACTGTTCCCTCCATCCAAGAAGGGGTGGGTTCCCTCCCATGATCTAGCTTCCAACCAGAGCATTACATTACTTTTGCCTGATGTGTAATGGATCTGGAATCAAAACTGTGTGGGTGCTGTGGCCCATTGGGTCTCCTTTGCCCCAAGCTTGGCAGACATTTGAAAGTAGCTGAGTGGGTTGTTATGAATGAACACTTCAAACTCTGCATCGGTCAACATTCTCTGGACAACTTGGAAATAGCCCACGTCAAAGCTAGCGGCTTGAGTTTGATACCAGAGTAATTCTCCATACCCCTCTCATTCGGCATGTGACTCCAACCAGCGTAAGCAATAAACACTCTTTTCTGCACTTGAGCCTGTGACAGGACCACTCCTAGGCCAAGGAAACTGGTGTAGTTTCCAGTATGAAAGAGAGTTGGAAATTTCGGGAGCTGAGACTGGATGATGAGACAGGTTTCTGTTTGAGATTGCAAAAGTCTCCATTAGCAGGGCTCCAAATCCCTGTGGATGATACAAGAAGTATCATGCCTCATACAACCTGCAGTATTCTCTATTTTCCCGAGCAAATTGTGCAGTAGCGCATTCAACTTGCTCCAACCTGTTATAGTAACCTGCTAGAATAAGGAACCCACACAGTTGCTTCACTGTCCGAGGTTGGCACTATTCCTCCATCACTCAAATTTTCTCATTGTCGGGAGTAATAACTAAAGTGCCCAAAGTACCATATTTTGTCCAGAAAAGTTTGCACTTTTCTGGTTTGACTTTCAATATAAACTCTGACAGGTAGGCTCGTACAGTGTCTAGTCTTGCAAGAGTGTCTCAATTGTCAATTTGAAGATGAGTATGTTGTCCAGATAAACAAGGAGGGTCTGGAAAATAAGGTTTCTAAAAACTTTATCTAGCATGTGCACAAAGATGGGAGGGGCAATACAGTGCCCAAACAGCAATTTTATGTATTGGCAATCCCCTGGTTGCAAATGGATTCTGTTCCTGAGTCCATTCACAAGTCAATTTGTATGTAAGGCAGAACATAATTGCACTACACCAATAAGCGGCGCAGAGTCAGGAAGGAGAAATCACTTCCAAAGTGAGACACAACCTGAGTGAGTATATATTTTGGAGAATTTGGAGGCAGCGTGGGAATTCGGTACATAGGGGAAGCCTTGCTTGCTTTTTTGGTTCATAGTTTGTAAGGTCTTTTAACATAATCAATTGAAGCCCTAGATCAGGGGCCCAGCACAAAAGAAAGAGTGACAACACAGGAAAACCATAAGTTCATTAGTTGGTAATAGCTACTAATCAACACTAAGATCAGTACACATTTGTTACACCAAAGGACAAAGGATATCAAACAATATGGAGTACAGGCAGGTAAATGGAGAAAGCATAGGCATGAACAATAACCTAGCACAATGGCCTGACCACAGTCATTGGTAAGATTTTAAAGTCCATTATTAAGGATGAGATTACAGAGTACTTGGAAGTGCATGATAAAATAGGACTGAGTCAGCACTGCTCCATCAAGGGGAGGTCACGTCTGACAAATCGGCTGGAATTCTTTGAGATAACAAGCAAGTTAGACAAAGGACAGCTAGTGGATGTGAGCTATTCGGATTTTCAGAAGGCCTTTGACAAGCTGCTGCGCAGGAGGCTGGTAAATAAAATTACAGTCCATGGTGTCACGCACAAGGTACTGACATAGATGCATGATTGGCTGACTGGCAGAAGGCAGAGAATGGGGATAGGAGGCTCTTTTTCAGGATGGTTGCCAGTGATTAGTAGAATTCTACAAGAGTCAGTGTTGGGACCACAACTATTCATGTTATACATTAATGATCTGGATGAAGGAACCGAGGGCGTTGGTGCTAAGTTTGCAGATGACACAAAGGTAGTTCGAGGGACATGTAGTATTGAGGAAGCAGGCAGGCTGCAGAAGGACTTGGATAGGCTAGGACAGTGGGCAAAGAAGCGGCAGATGGAATACAATGTGGGAAGGTGTGAGATTATGCACTTTGTTCAGAAGAATGGTGGTAAGAGACATAGATTACTTTCTAAATGGTCAAACATTTGGAAATCTGAAACACAAAGGGACTTAGGAGTTCTAGTTCAGGATTCTCTTAAGATTAACATGCAAGTTCAGTTGGCAGTTAGGAAGGCAAATGCAATGCTAGCATTCATTTTGAGAGGGCTAGAATATAAGAGCAGGGATGTACTGCCTTGACTGAATAAGGCTCTGCTCAGACCGCATTTAGAATATCGCGAGCGTTCTGGTCTCTGTGAATAATGTAGGATATGCTGGCATTTGAAGGGATCCAGAGGAGCTTTACAAGAAAGATCCCAGGGGATGAAGGGCTTTGTCATATGAGGAGCAGTTGAGGACTCTGGGTCTGTACTCAATGGAATTTAGAAGAATGAAGGGAACCTGGTTGAAATTTACAGAATATTGAGAGGCCTGGATAGAGTAGATATGGAGAAGTTGTTTCCACTAGAAGGAGAGACTACGACCTGAGGGCACAGCCTCAGAGTGAAGGGATGACCCTTTAAAACTGAGATGAGGAGGAATTTCTTCACCCAGAAGATGGAGAATCTGTGGAAAACTTTGCTGCAGAAGCCTGTCAAAGCCAATTCATTGAGTGTATTTAAGGCAGAGACAGATAGGTTCTTGATTAGTAGGGGGATTATTGGTTATTAGGAGAAGGTAGGAGAATAGGTTGAGAAACATATGAACCATGATCAAATGACTCAGCAGACTTAATGGGCCAAATGGCCTAATTCTGCTCCTATATCTTTTGGTCTAAGGACAATATAAAGCAGTCATTCATAAGTACAGGAAATACTCATATGTCAGATATTTAAAATTACCCCCTTAAGGAGTAGCTCTTCCTTCCTCTGTAGCATCAAGAGAATAGATATGAGAAGCCTCTGCCTAGGTTTGACCTAAAGGTCCAAATCCCACTGCCAATACCTGAGCCTCCAATGATACCAGAGCAGTTTCACCAGCCCTTATGGACATTGCTAGTTTGCACTCCTCCACCAATTCCATTCCATCCCAGCCAAGTGCTTTCAACCTTATCTGCCATGACCTGATGCCTATGCTGAGGAACCCTGCCGACTATGCAGAAACGTAATTTATTTGAACAAATAGAAGACCTAAAGATCATGAAGCAAGGATCCTTTATTCCACTGTTATCAGGTAATTATAAGCATGATGGCAAATTAAGATTAAACAAGGAAGTATTTACAGTATGCACATGGAATGAAGTGTGTGGGTTATATTGGGTTGAGGAATCCTTTGTTTGTCTGCCCCTCTTCCCATAGACTTCCTTCTGCCAGACACTCTCTTTCCCAGCAAGGGTCCATTCAACTGCTCCGACTACCCTCTGTCATCATCACCACCTGCTGGCTGAGGTCCTGGCACAACTGCTTCAGCTCCTATTTTGAGTACCCTCCCTCACCATTTCCGCCTGCTGCTACAGTTGTTTGTTAATCCCAAAACAGCAGTGTTAAAGTAAAGCACAGAATTAATCTGGAAATTAAAGGTGTGTTTGAAGGAAAATATGCTGGTACAGATTAAGAACTGAACTGGTTAACAGAGAGAAAACAGATTGGGAATAAATGGGCCATTTCCAGATTGGCGGACTGTGACTCATGGGGTACTGTCAGGATCAGTTATGGGCCCCAGGTAGTCAAAATCTAGATCAGTGATTTGGATGTAGGGATTAAATGGAGTATCTCCAAGTTTGCAGATGACACAACTCCTCACAGGTCTTATTCTCTCATTGAGAAACCATTCTAGTTTGTGTTTCTTACATCCAAACTGGATGACATTACACTTATGGATCAGTATTGCTCATCCTCCTTCAAATCTCCTTCCCAACCCTCTAGGACTGACAGTGCGTTTTCCTAGTATTGTTCTCACTGTCAACTGGATTTCCTTTTACTCGTTTACTCTTACAAATATTAAATCCAGCAAGTAGCTCATGTTCTCATGGTGCAAGAATGTTAATAGTGGTCTGCTTGACTCAGTAGGTGTTGCTTCTTGAATTGTACCCAAATTCAGGCAAATCCTTACATACCACCTCACTAACCTCCGAATCCAATGCATCATCCTCTGACATTTCTGCCACCTACAATCAGACTCCACCACCAAAAAGATATTTCCCTCCCCACCCCTGTCCACTTTCTGCAGGGACCATTCATTCTGTGACTCCCTCATCAGCTCTACACTCCCCACCAATTCCTGCACCACACCTAGTACCTTTCCCTGCATCTGCAAGAGGTGCAATACTTGCCCCCATATCTCCCCTCCCACCTCCGTCCAAGGTCCCAAACAAACTGTCTGGATCTGGGAGAGATTCACTGCCCCTCATCCAACCTGATTTATTGTATCCGTTGCTCCTGATGTGGTCTCCTCTATATCGAGGAGATCAAACGCAGACTTGGAGACTGGTTCGTGGAGCATCTGCGCTCTGCACACATTAACCAACCTGACCTTCCGGTCGCCATCCATTTTAATTCCCCCTCCCACTCCCCTGGTGACATGCCCATCCTTGGCCTCCTCCACTCTCAGAGCAAGGCCAAACATAAACTGGAGGAACAACACCTGATATTTTGCCCTGGGAGCTTACAGCCCAATGGCCTCAACATTGACTTCACTAGCTTCAAAATCCCTCCACACCCAGCCTTAACCCATGTCCTGATATCCCCCTCCTCCTCACCTCCCTGACCTGACCTAACCTGTCCATCTTCCTACTCACCTATCCACTCCACCCTTCCCATGGAACAATCATAATAAGCCCGTACCTGCATCCACTTACCACCATCTCTCCTACCCTTCCCCACTCTCCCTCCCTCTATTTATTTCTGGGCTCCCCTCCTCCCTCCCCAGTCCTGATGAAGCATTTCAGCCCGAAATGTTGTCTTTCCTGCTCCTCGGATGCTGTCTGACCTGCTGTGCTTTTCCAGCTTTGCACTTGTAGACTCTGGCTTCCAGCATCTGCAGTCCTTACTGTCTCCAGGCAAATCAATTTCTACACCCATCGTTGCTGAACAGTTTTATATTCTGGTTGGGTGTATTGTTTTGGAATGTGCTGCATTTAAGCATAAGTCCCTGAACAGGAAATTCAAACTTGCCTGTTAATCTTGTTTCACAGCTTGTGTTGCTTGCAATACCAAAACCAGTTATCATCAGCGTGGTGATAATTAGAACAGGTTTATCTGTGAAAAGGCAAGAGCCACGTGATGAACTGCTTCCACTCCACCCCATCACATTCTGAACATACCACCCATTAAACACATTTCAGAAGTGAATGAAAAGATAAAACAGATAAAACTTGAGAAATTTGACTTCAAGCAACTTTTCTCACTCCAACTCTAACCCCAGCTGACTTTATTTTGCATTATAATTTTGTGTAATGTTGAGTAATTTTACAGGTAATGAAAATTACACACTCAAACAATTTAAAGTGATTTTAAGTTTTACAAATTGAACTCACTTTTTGAGAAACATAAAGCCATTTTGCCCTTAAGGAACTGAGGTCTCCTGGTCTTGATTAATGTTACAACTCTACCCATTTGCAGTGATAGGCACGCCTAAGTCGGGTATGCATAGTATGTGCTCGAAAGCCATATCTTCTACCTGAGCAAAGTAGAATGTGGATGACGAGTTGTGTAAGAGTCATGCTTCACGCCAGAGTTAATTAGAATTTAAATTCTTGCGTTGTGAGCATGGTTGATGCCCTTTTCAGCTTTAGTTCCCTTGATTGTGTAAGAATACACTGTTCAATCTTAGACAGCACCAACAATAGCAGAAAATATATGCTGGTACAAGACCTGATGAGCAGATATCGTCGAGGCAGGTTCTACAACTGCTTGCTTCAATATATTGAATGCCCAGAAATCCCCATTTCCTATACTTGCAAACCTCCAAATTCATTTCAACCCTTCTGGAATCTTTATTTCATAATGTAACTTTCTTTTGCCTCTATAGTTTCCCCTTGCATCATCTTCCTTTCTCAACTCAGGAGAAAAGTCAAAGACTGCTCGCACATTTCTGCATGTATTTTAGATCTGGCCACAAAAGTGTGAGCCATGGATCACTCAC